CCCCAAAACCCCAAAACCCCAAAACCCCAAAACCCCTTAAGGCTAATTTTTAATTGAAATTAACAGAAGATCATGGAGTTTCTTATTGTTTAATTTTCACAGGGATATGGACTTTCCTGTTCTCCTTTTTGACAATATATTTCATGTATTCATGAAAATCAGTAAAACCTCCATAATCATCCTCAGCTCTTTTGGTCTTCCATGCAGCTTTATAGTGGCTATTCTGTGAGGCTCTAACAGGGTCCTCATTGCTATAACTCATGGCTAGAATGTAATGAATAAAGATTACAGCGAAAATGTTTTCTTGGATAGCGAGTTCTAGGAAGATCCTTCTCCCTTGAGATTACTTTGTTCGTGAAGATCGGCAAAGGCTGTATCTTTTTGAACTGGGTGCTATTTTAGCATATTCAAACTGGATGATTTTGGAAATTTGTGATAGAAGGTCTTGTTGAGACAATTTGCTGATTTTCTAATTCCAAGGTTCACACGAGGTATAGCTGTGGTTAAGAATAGGAATTTACAACGAGGCTTGGTTTTGAGGTTGGTAATTTTAGCTTGGATTTGGAGAGGGACTAGGAATTATTAGAGGAAGAATACTTGTAGGTACAAGGATTGTCTTGCTTTGGTCTTTTGGATCATCACCTTTTGATAAGTAGAAGTTTGATTTGAGGTTTGCCTTTGTGTAGTGAAGATCACGTTTCAAGTCTGTGTTAAGCTTATGTGGAGAATTTCTGATGTAAGCACTAATCTTGTTCTTAGAATTCCTGCTATGCTTATATATCTGAGCTTTTGATGCCTTCAAATTAGTCTTGAGTTCATTCTTATTTCAAAACTTAGTCCTTGTCCCCATTACAGAGAAACTCTCTCCTTTTGATTTTGTTGATCTTGATTCATATTCATTATGAGTTGCATCTAGGTAGCTATACATCAGAAGTACTTTCTACTCTGAAAAGCTTGAACTGCTATCTAAAGTTTATCATTAACATCAAGAATTCATAGCATAAAGTGTAAATTTATCATAAATTTCTTACTGTGATGTTTGAGAAAGTATTTTTGTTCTCTATTTCTTCTAATCTTCTCAGATTCTCTCTTCGTACGTGAATCAGAAACAGTACCGTTAGAACTATAATCTTCATTTCGATAGATATTATGATCCGTCTTGAACAATCTAAATCCTGAGATATCCTTGTCAGGGGCTAAGGTTCTTAGTATATCCTGGAGTTCCTTAAAGCCCTTTGTATTTGAGCTAAAATTAAACAGAAAAATTGTACTTCTCAACATCCTTAATAGAGTCCTCTCTCACAGCTGCATTAATCTGAATGTATTATATAGAGAAACTTGCATTATTTTTCAGAATTTAGCTTAACTAAAAGTGTTCTTTTTCGGATAAATATTTTTGAATTATCAACCTTTCTCCCTTCTCTCCTCTCAGGATGAGCAGGAGGTAGGTGAGAAGGATCAAAGTTAGCCTCCTCTGTTTGGACAGCTCAGATGCTTTGATCCTTCTTGTCCTTGTACTCATTATATTTAGATCTTAAGCTCTCTTTGATGAACTTCTTGTTGATATTAGAATCTCTTCGTTTTATCATATTTTATTCAGTTTTATAAAATATTGTTGGGGTTTTGGGGTTTTGGGGTTTTGGGGTTTTGGGGTTTTGGGG